GCGGGTGGGTGCCATGGCAACGCCCCTTATCCCAAGGCAGGCGAACATTGGCTGTGCTAGCTGGGGACGATGGGAGTGGTCCAACACATCCAGATGCTAAATCAAGATGAGGGACATCTCCTCCCCAGGGCGCATGCATGAAAAGGTGGCCAGAGCCCTCCTTTCCACCTACTGCAGCTGCTAAGGAATGTTTCAGGTTCTCCTCTTCAAGGACTTCTACAAGCAAATAAAAAGGAAGCATTTACAAAGACCAACCATCCTTCTGCAAGGCAAGCAGTTCCAGAGAACATGCTGAATCTAGCATGTAATGGATGGAGGACACTTTAGCAATCCTCCAGGGTGGTGGTGGGGAGGGAACACTTGTGCAGAGATCCAGGGTAAATGTCCCAACATCCTGGGATGTTGCAGGTGTGCAGAACTTTGAGGCATGTGCATTGGCAAAGGTTCTTTTTAACCCCCAAAATTTCCTGCCTTCCACAGATTTAATGTAAGAATGGGTGAGAATGTCCTTTAGTGCAGGATTTTTGGATTTTAAAAAATTAAGCCATGCAAGCAACAGATTGCCATGACCCTGGTTCCACTCCAGCACTGGACCGCCCTGAAGGAAGTTCCTCTTGACTGCTTCTTTTCTATCCACGTGGAAGGAGAAGTGTAATGGAAAATACCTCTTTTATGATCCAAACATTCGCTGTGCCTGCAGCCACTTGTTATTACCAGGTGTGTTTGGACTGCTTCACCATTGCCTGATTTATGTTGTACTCTGAAAGGCCTTGCCTTCCTTCCCTCACCCTTCCACCACACTCCCTTATCAAACGAAAGTCACTCCTGTTGGTGTAACCTTGTTGTTGTGATTGAGGAAGATAGAGGAACGCTTGCCACAAAGAGTCCCCGGCCTACACATTTTGGCCTATCAGATGGGATGGCCCTGATCATCCCAGTCTCCTGAAGGGGAAGAGAAGAAAAAGGAAAGGAGAAGGGGGAAGCAAGCCAAGGGTCAGCCTGGTCCAGTAGAAAGAGACGCCAGGCACCATGAGAAAGAGAGCGGGGCTTCAACCATTCTCTCTCAACATGCAACGAGCTTTGGGGAGGGTGGCTGGAAGCAACTGCCCCACTGCTCAGGCCTGTGGGAACTGTGTTTGGGGCGGTACCAGGTTGAAAGGGAGTTAAAGGCTAGCAACCCTCTCCGGAGCTCCAGAGAGGAGAGGGAGCAATGCGATGCATCCTGGCACCCGATCACACCACCAAGAGTAGCACAGTGGCAGCTTTGGCTCCATGCTGGAAAAAGCCATGCTCATTGTCCAATTCTCTCCCTTTTTCGAATTGCAACCAAATACAGAAATGCCACATTGCGCTTTGGAAGAGTTTGTCACGAGAGAGCGAGAGAAAGAGAGAGAATATTAGGAGATATAAGAACCTCTCGCCTTGACAGGGAGGTCTTGGAGACAGGGAGGTCTATGGCTACCAGCCCCGATGGGTATAGCCCACCTCCAGAGTCCGAAGCACGATGCCTCTGGCTATGCCTTGGAGGGAGGAGGAGTGGGAAGGTGTTGCTGTGCTCATGTCCTACCCGTGGATGTCTTGTGGGCATCTTCTAGGCCACTGCAGGGATAAAATGCTGGTCCAGGAGGGCCTTTGGGCCAACCCAGCATAACTCTTCCAACAGTTGCCCAAAGCTAAGCTCCCTGATGTGGTCATTCCCTGAAAAACCTCACCCTTCACTTGCCCGACGGTGCCTCCCCCACCTTTTTTTTTTTTTTGGCCATGCTCATCTGGTGCCTCCAGGCTGAAACCCTGCTCAGATGGACCTGTGTCCTTGCAGTGCGGTGAGGAAAATCCGGGCTGCCTGTTTCGAAGGGCTGAGATGTGTCAAGTGTGAACTGTCACCACCTGTTGCAGTTCCTCAGCTCTAACCAAGGAAGGTGAGGGGGGAAGCAGGGCCATACTTCTAGAGCTGCTGAAGGAGTCAAGGTCCTCTCCCCGTTCCCCTCCTCATTCCTCTTTCCTTCTATATCGTGTCCTGGTAGACTGTGCGCTTGGCTTCTTTCTGCTTTCCTCAGACTTCCTCCTACCAGGGATTCCTGAACTGCATTTCGTCCCACATCCACTGCAGGTAGCTATGGTGACGGAGGTCAGAATAGATAGCCCGAGAGACCCCTTCTGACTCACTCCGTTTCTATGTTTCTGTCTCCTATCCACAGTGTGCATATGCTGTAGCATTTCATGGCCAGAGAAGACAGCCCGGAACATACAGTCTCCCCAGTTTCCTCGGCAGCCTCTTTCCCCTTTCCTTTTCTTTTGAGGGACCACAAATGGTTTCACGCCTGGAGATCCATCAGCATGAACACACCAGTTTTAAATGAAAGAATTTGCAGCAGCCAGTTGCAAGCCAAGACTCATCCTAACAGGGAGTTTTGGACCAATTTAACAGCCAATTAGATTGGCGCAACCTCCACCTCCCAGGCCCTGGAGCATAAAGCCTGCCGAATTGGCATTTCAAAGTCTCCTTGGCAATATTTTCACTTGCTGAAATAACTCTGGAAGTGGCTAACTTGAAGACATACTTGACAGCAATTCAAGAGGGTGTCCAGGGCTTGAGATTTAATTAAATTGGGGCTTGGAGTTGATTTCATTACATCAGGCTCAAAAACTGTGCTTCAGGCAACCTCATGGTATACCCAGAAAAGAGTAGGAATGGCCACAGACCAAGTCAGACTTGGATGCCCACTGGACTTTCCGGCATGAAAACTCCACCAGCAACTAACCAGCTCAGTTGGCTAGATGCTCAGGCCTACTTTGGATCAAACCGCACGACTCGGTAAGTGCGTGAAAGCCATTTTGTTTAGCAGAAAAGGCCACCAAGGGGGATCCAAGCAGAATGGGGACCGTGCTTTGCAGGATGGCCTGCTCTTCCTTCCCTGACACAGAAAACCCGTCCTGTGTGGTTGTCCCAACGGAATACCCAAGCTGCAACAAGGACCTGTAGGCAGACTTTGCAATGCCCATGGGAGATCCTTCTTAGAGTTTTTCCATCTTGGGTAGGAGGAATTGGGGGGACCATGGCATGGGATTCAAGCCCTCTCCTCCCTGTGTGTCACAGCACTGATTCTGTCACCACTGGCATCTCCTCAAATAAAAATGTGGCATTTGCTTTCACATAACACAACACAGGCCATTTGAGAGAAATGGTGTCAAGACGCAACTTTTCAACATCACTTGAAAGCTGCTTTTGATGTTGTTATTATTTTTAAGGGATGTGGTGGCACAGCGGGTTAAACCACTGAGCCACTGGGCTGTTCATTGGAAGGTTGGCAGTTGGAATCCGTACAATGGGGTGAGCCTTCGCTTTGTCCCGGCTTCTGCCTATGTAGCAATTTGAAATCATGGAAATGTGAGTAGAAAAATAAGTACCACTTTGGTGGGAAGGTAACAGCGTTCTGGGCACCTCGGTGTTTCGTCATGCTGGCCACATGAGTGCGCCCAGAATTTGGTAGGAGATAATTTTAGGCTTCCCTGCTACCCTCTGGAAATTGCTAACCCCAAAAAAGACTCTCACTTTCATGTTCTTCTAAGATTACGAATTGACAGAACCTCAATGCTCAAGACAAAATCTTCACATTTTGCATTTCACCACAGGTGCTAGTGAAAAACAAACTTCTACTTGGTAGTTCCCATGACTTTCTGAAAGCACTAGAATGCACTCCTGGATTTAAACAGTGAGCTAATGTTTCCCATGTTGGACAACTATCTATTTAATAGAATTTAACAGTTTGATGCAAAGGATCCCATGATACCTGAAAGGTATTCTGGACTCTAAACAAACCAAGCTATCGCAAAAGAGTCAAAATAATCATTTGGAGGTACAGGAGAACAAAGGGCGTTAGACAGCTGATGGGCCAACTTTATATTAAAAAAAAAATCTCAAATTAGCTGAGTGCTGTGCTGACAGTGTTTCCAGGTTCTTGATCTCCAAAGACTGGGTCCCCAGGCTCTTTTGAAGGAAACAGCCCTGCAATAAACTCTCATTTGAACTCACCAGCCCGTAGGGTTTTCCCCATGTTGGTTTTCATGAGCTTAGCAAAGGCCTCATATGAGCCTTATTAACACCTTTTTAATATGTTAGGTTGATCTCACCTTGCCTAGTTCTCCAGTTATTAAGGCAGCAACACTGCAAACAGCAAAATTATCTCTAAGGAGGAAAGAAACCTGCAGTGGCTATTTTTGTCTAGGGACAGATGAAAGACTCCAATTTTCTCAGGAAATTGCAACTTCCTTATAAAGGTTTCAGGTTTTCCCATAACAGTGAAAGTAATTATTACTTTGTGTGTTAAAGGCAGGATGGATTTTTTATCCATTCATTAGAAGTAATTTGATATCTGGAATACCATTTCAAGCAATTCTGATGAACACTGAAGTGGTATTTGTTGATGACACTGAGTGAACCAGGCAAAATATTTCAGCCTGGATGTCTTTTCCCCAAACACTCCCAGTTCTTCGAAACTTGTTCGCAATTCATGAGATGGAGAACATTTTGAACACAAGATCAACCGTGATGCTCCTATGATCCAAATCAAAGGCACTTTCATTCTGTCTGTGAGGCAGGTCAGCTTGAATCAGTGAACAGAAGTGATTGGGGGTTTGGACTGGGACTGGGGAGACCCAGTTCTGGTTCCCACTTGACCCCAGCCTAACTGTTGGCTCTCAGCCTAACTTACTTCCTAGGGTTGTTGTGCGGATAAACATGGAGAGGAGAAAGAGGATCACGTAAGCTACCTTGGCTTCCTTTTAGGAAAACAGATGGGGAACACTAAGTAACAAATCATGCGAACTTGTCCCTCAGCTGTTCTCTGAATCCTAGATTTTGACACCAACAGGACAGCTATAATGGCCACCAGCTTAGCAAGGTAACACCTACCAGCCCCCATTCCCCCCTTGGAATTTTTCCTGCCAGTGTCTTGAGCTGGCACGAAAACCCAGATGTGACAGAAAAGAGGCCCTCTTACCAGGTTCTATGTGACTGCCTTCGTTCTGTGCTTCTGTGGAATCTGCCACATTCCCACTCATCTTGATATCTGAAAATATGAGACAAGCTGCTTTTACCAGTGGGGCACCATCCCCAGCTAATGCATGCTTCTTCCACTAAACGGCATCAGTGAGTGTTTCATTGTAATAATATTTCATCAGACTTTCAAATGCCCAGTTCCTACGCATCCAGCCTATAGCATATTCATAAGCTCAGGGGACTCCTTTGTTCCCTCCCTCCGGTTGCTCCATTCCCTTCCATCCATGTCTAAGTCTTCTCTTTCTGCTGGTGAGGCCTCACCTGGAGTGCAGACTCCAGTTCTGGGCACCACAGTTTCGGAACGATGCAGACAAGCTGGAAAGGATTCAGAGGAGGGCAACCAGGTTGATATGGAGACTGGAAACAAAGCCCTTTGAGGAGAGGTCAAAAGAACCAGCCATGTTCAGCCTCAAGAAGAGAAGACTGAGGGGAGATAGGTAACATTGTTCAAGTACTTGACAGGCTGCCACAAACAGGAAGGACAAGAACATCCCAGAGTGCAGGACATGGAATAACAGACTTAAGTAAGGAAACCAGGTTCCAGCTGGTTATCAGGAAAAAATTCCTGACTGTTAGAGCAGTACAACAGTGGAACCCTTCACCTAGGGGCTCTTCCACACTGGAGACATCCAAGATGTAGCTGGAAAGCCATCTGAGAGGGATAGTTTAACATGGTTTCCTGCACAGGTAGGGTGTTGGACCAGATGACCTTCTGGTCCCTTCCAACTCTGCTCTTTCTATGATTCTCCCAGAAGTCAGTCTAGAAATATTCTAAATAAATACCAAATAAACCACAAAGCTGCACTAGCTGGAATGTCCAAAGCACACTCGATTCCTCCATTTCAACTTCTCAGGCCTTCTCCCTCATACTTATTTATTTAAAGCTTTCATATATCATCCTTCACAAAGTCCCAGGATGGTAATACGATGAAATAAAAGTACAGCATCAGACATCAAATTATAAGAAATAAAACCCCATCATAAAACACATTAACATTTAAAATATTGGGAAAAGGAAAAGGTTTTGGCCTTTTTATTGATAGAGAGAGATGGAACCACCACTGTGCAAAAGGGAGCAAAACATCCTTCCGCATCATCTGGCCCAGCCTTGATGCTGACTGATGCTTTGTTGCAATTTAAAACAATTTACCCTGGAAAGGACCGTTGCTGCTGCCAAAGCCTGGGATCCCAGATCCTTGCAGAGTTAGTCAGGGAAGAATGAGGAGCCTGTCCCTTGTCACTGCATGTGACTCACTCACCATCTCTTCTCATTAAACACAGAACCAGCCACATTTAAATACACCGGGTACCTCTGGCCTATTTGAGCACCATGCAACCTAATTGGAAGAGAACACTCTTTCTTTCCTTAACAAAAACAATTTGCATAAGCTTTCAATAGCCAATTCCCTTTTTGAGAACAGGAGGGTAATTTGCATCGGTTCATAACACTTTTTTTGTATGCCTGCTCCATTTGGCTTGTTCAGGTGAGCTCCCCGTTAAAAAAAGATAATCTGAGATCAAAACCCCATCATGTATAATTGTTTCTCTTAAGCCAGCAGAAGAGATAATTGATGCAGCTTTCTGGATCGTATATACAACATTATCATAGAAGAATCCAGGGATAGCAAAAGAGGATTCCAGGGTTTAGGAAGCAAGAAGCTGAGCAAAGAACATGGAAAGTAGGAGGAAAGTTCCAACTCAGAAAGATACAGTAGGGCTGGTATTGCCAAAGCTGTGGGCAGTTGTAATCACAAGCCAATGAGCACATGCAGCCCATTTTAGGGGCAGAACAATGAATAGCTCCGTAATGAATCAGCACCTGTACAGCCAGTGAACTGGACTCCAAGGGGCTAAATGGTGAACAGGGTTGTGTTCTCAGGGCAGCTGTCCTGTCATGCCATACCTGGAGTTGGGCCCTGATGGATGCATCTTCCTTCCTTCCTTCCTTCCTCTCCTGGTGGCTTCCAAGGCCATAAATGGGCAAGAACTGCCTGCCTTCTTTTACCTGCCTTAAAGGGTCCTACGAGCTTTTTTAATTCCAGAAGGATTTTGAGTCACTGAAGAACAACTTTATCTGCCAACACTATTCCAGTTATCTCTTCTTATATGTTGCTAATTCATTCATGTGCTTCTATTTTTATGTATCCAGGCAGATTTTTTTTTCCTTGATAGAATCTTATATTGCTTTACTGACTTGGGAAAATGATTTAACCTGAAAGGCAGTCTGAAAATCCATAACATGAGCTCCCTTCTGGCTTTAAAGGTCTATAATTCTATCAGACGTTGCAGCTGCCTAGTGACTTTCTTTGTCGGGAGATTTAAAGGGCAACCCCATGCTTGCTTAGTAAAGAGAAAAATCCTACAACCCCCAGAATCCTCCAGCCAGCATGTTGTAGCCCCCCACCTTTTTTAACATACAAAAAAAGGTTTATGATGTCTTTAAAGAACTTGTAAACAACTTTAAGCAGGGACTAACATGCACAAAATAAATGCCTTGTACAGCAGTGCTGTCCCAAACAAGGCATGCAAGCAGTTGCTTCTGGCAGTCACATTTATCCACAAGTATACTGCTTCTGGTCTTGGAGGTTCATTAATGTACAGTGGTCAATAGTTTCTCAATGAACCTCTGCTTCCACATGCATTTGCTTAATCCATTCACAAGAACAAAGGTTCTGACCCACTCAGAAACAGAGAGGACTTCTTGATTCCAGTAGGAGGTAAGAAACATGCAGTGCAAGACAACCATGGCAAGCTACCTTATCCCAGGTCAGACGGCCTGCCCATCTAGCCTACTCTGGCCAATGGGAAGGGTCTTTCCCATCAGTTGCTCTTTTTCAGTGACCTGGAACTTTATGCATGCAGAGCACAACCAAGGTGGGACTGAACAAACTGAATAACCCAAGAAACAGCAAGAACAAACGGATTTGCATCCATGCATGCTTGGGATTTGCTGACGAATAGGGACTGGACCTGCAGAAAAGGGATATATTCATCTCCTCAACATTTCAACTCCTAGGCTAGATTGCTGCAATGCATTTTATATAGGGCTGTCTTTGCAGGTGGTCCAGAGAGAAGCTTCAGCTCATGCAGAATTCAGCAGGCAGATTAATAAGAGGGACAAGAAAGCCCTGATTCTGACCTGCTTGCAGAGACGGTGCATTTCCCAGCCTGATTCAAGGGGATGGTCTTGACCTCTGAAGCCGAGCATGGCTCAGGGCCACTGTGCCTTTTAGAGGCCAATGACCCCACCCACTCTTTGCTTTGCATGGAATGCCTTCTTCAGGTGCCTCCTCTGAGAGCAAGGAGGATGGCCTTCAAGTTTGGAAAGGTCTCTCTGCAGAGGACTTCCTGGAGCTAACGTGGTCATTTTTTTTGGCACCTGCGGTACGATTTCCCCTTCTTTAGGGAGTACATCAGGTCCTGGATTTTCCTTACTGTTGATGGCTGAACATCATCTGGATATGTGTGTGTATGTGCCGTCTATTCATAGGTTTCTGTCAGCATGGCTCTGCACTACACGTGCTGCGTTTTCAGGTTTTTGATAGGTTTTCAGTCTGTGTAAATCATTCAGGGAGCTTCAGCTATTGAGTGGCACAGAAAGGCCAGAAGCAAAATGAAAATGGACTTGCACTAAATCATGCCATGACTAGTACACCGAGGCTGATGCAAAACGAAGCAATGGGGTGTAGAGAAATCCATGGGTCCCTCAACCCAACACTGACAGGCAAATAGCCCTCCAGATTTTCAGGCAGGAGGCTGGGAACTGAACTTGGGACCTTCTGCATGCTAAGAAGGTCCTACTGCTGACCTTTTCATGCAGAGGGAAGACTTCCGCATCTCATGCACCATTCAGATTAAATATCTCAGAGATCACGCCAGCTCGGGAAACCTGGCTGGGAGTGCCCACTCTCCAGGGGCTGCCCCAACCCAATCCCAGCCTGACTCTGGTACAGAGGAGCTGAAGAGAGAGCTATGCTGGGGATGCTGGGAGCGGTTGCTAGCCTGCCAGATTGTAATTAAGATGAATTTAACCCCAGACAGCCCAGCCGCAGTAAGAGGAGTCGATCGTGTGTTTCACCAGTCCACCATCGCTGAAGTTCTTTGTCTGAAAACGCCTTCAGCTGTGGAGCTATGGAGCAAGTGAGTGGCTGGCGAGGCTGCTTAGGAAGTGCACAACAGCCGCCTTAGGGGATGAAACCATAACATGTTGAGGGGCTCGTTACTGGACGGGGTTGCTAGCCCAGTCAGCTGCCCCCATTTTTCTGCCCCTTTCACGGACGTGTTACAGAAAAGCTCACAAGTCCTGCAGACCTTTGCTATTTCCTTCAATGTCCTGGGTCCGCTGGACCAAGGAGGTGGGCTGTGGCTCTGCCCCAACACACCCTTACTGCCAGGGAACGATAACAACTGCACAGGCCTCACATGTGCCTTTCGTAGTCCACACCACCGAGGAGTGAGAGCCGGGCTCCCCAGGTCTTGCGCAAAGCAGCCAGACGACTCGGTTTCATTACCACACACAGCCGGTTTCACCCATCAGCTTTCCCACAGAACTTCCCTGCTGCACTCGCACGGCGGGGAAATAGTCTTCCTACAGGCAAAAGAGGCGCACGGAGGGTTCCTTTGAAGCTTCCGCTGCAGCCCTGCGAGCGGCTTTTCGCTGTAACAGCCTCAGAGGAGGCCTCCTGCTTCTCTCCAGGAGGCTTTGCTAGCAAGCCAAAGGTGCTACTGTGCGGGTGAGAGGGATGCAGTTGTTGCCTGAAGGCTTGCTATGCCCCCCCGCACTGCCACAGAGGAAGAACGCGGGCTTTCAGTTAGAGCTTGAGTAGCCCAAAGTGACCTGCTTCTGCAGCAGAGAGCAATAAGTATGTTTGCATGTGTGAATATCCTCCAACGGGTTAGTGTTTTGTCTGGGGCCGCCTGGAAAGGTGAAATGGCTCCCAGAATGTGGGAGG